TAAACAACTGTAGCATAGCTATTCAGGCAATATCCTCTTTGCCTGCTGGTTGTGATACAAAAACCTCTTGAAATCTGTTTTGACTTTGAAAGCTTCAATTCAATGATCCAACGAGTGCATGATAATACTTTACTTAATGAGCAACATTTCATAAGCTAATAAAATTATTCACAAGTGAAGATACTCTGCACTCTAAAATGTTATTTTGTGCTAAATTAAATTTATTTTGTAAAAAGTGACATTCTCTCTTGATTATAAACCTAATTTAACCTAACGCAATAAAATCATTAGAAAAAACTATTAGTCAGGTGATAGAAGTGCACACCTTTAATCCCAGCACTCGGGAGGCAGAAGTAGGTGGATCTCTGTGAGTCTGAGGCCAGTCTGGTCTACAAAATGAGTTCCAGGACAACAAGAGCTGTTACACAGAGAAACCAAGTCTCAGAAAACAAAATGAAAAATACTATCCAGAAGATTCCAATTATTCAAGTCTTACTAATGTAATCCTTTGAAATTTATTTTAAGTAAAACACAGCTTTTTGTATACTTTATCATCATAATTTAGATAATTATTTTCTATTATAGAAATTCCATTTGTCTTGAAAGGGGAAATGGATTCTGTCTGTCATGTTGGTGTCTTTTGAGAATGTAGTGACTACATAACCAACATGCAGACCACTATTCAAGTATGTTCAACTTTTGGGTTTTAAGCAGTGGACTGAGGGGGCAACAGAGGGAGGAAATATATACTGTAACCAGAGAAGCAGTAAGTATGCTAAGGAATGCCAGTTACAGCTTGGTCCCTTATCAGGCCCCAGGATGAATTCCTGTGGGGAGTACTTGTCCTCACCCTTGTTGCAAGGCCCCAACTTGTGTTTCAATTCCACAAAGCGCTCTGGAAAATACTGGGAGTAACCAGGAGGATTCCACGAGAGAACAGATCAACCCAAACACACACACACACACACACACACACACACACACACACACACACACACACGACAGAAGATAGTCTATGATGGTGGTCAAAGTGTCTTCCTGTGGTGCTAACAGTATTCATGATATAAATGCCAGCACATAATTCAAAATAAAGCGCCAGGCTGGAATCCTCATTTATTGAAACAGGGTCTTAGGAGCTGGATTCCTTCAGGGCTTCTTTTAAATATCTGTTGTTGACTTGGTAAAACATCCCCGTCTCAGAAATTCAAAAGCTTCAAAAGTGGCAAAAAGTCTCTGTCTCTCCTGTGTGTACCCCAGCTACCAGCTGTCCTCCCCAGAGATAAGCAGTGTCATCAGCCTTTTGGGAGTGTTTGCAAAGATCCTGAAAGAGGTTGATGGTGTGTGTGTGTGTGTGTGTGTGTGTGTGTGTGTGTGTGTGTGTGTGTGTTTGTCTATGTATGTGCCTGTGTGTGTATATGTGTGTGTGTCTGTGTCTGTGTGTGTATGCGTGTGTGTGTGTCTGTGTGTCTCTCTGTGTGTGTCTCTGTGTGTGTCTGTGTATGTGCCCTGTGTGTGTCTCTCTGTGTGTGTCTGTGTGTGTATATGTGTGTGTGTATGTATAACAGCTAGGGAACAGAGCTGTGTTCAGTACCATGTGCCTTGACTCTGTGCAGGTCTTAGAGGTTCAGGGTCGGATAGGAAGACTGACTTCATGTGGGAGCTAAAGTCTGGCACTAACTAGAAAAAAAGGATTCTGCCATGTGTCTAGGCTGCATTTACAAGGGTGGGTAATGATTCACAGTGTTTATGCCCCATGAGGGCGGCGAGTGTTCAGGATTCTGTGTCTTTTACAGGACTGCTTTCCTCAGTGAAAGGCATGGCTGTATTTTTTGCATTATTTTGACAAGAAACAGTAGTGTTTATTAAAACCTTTTTCCTCCTAAAAGAAATACTGACACCAACATGAAAATCACAACATGATTTTTATATCTCCAAAGCCAAAAACATTTCCCTGCTGGAACGCAACTCTAATGATGTCATATAAATTAATGGAAAAATAGCAGTAGACATTTGCTTTACTGCCAACTCTTAAAGACTACTTGAGCAAGGCATGTTTATTTTGGTGGTATGAATATTTAATTTTTCCTTATCTGAAATGATAGCTTAAAGAGTGTTAATCAATACATTAAAAAAATCTTTTTAAGATCATCTCCACAGCATGAGCTGTTACCACCTCAAAACTTACCTAACCTGCATCTATTAGCATTTATTTAAACAATGACAATATCAACAAATTATTTAATAAAACACAAATCTATCCTGAATTTCTTCAGAGGAGTAAACAGCCCATAGACTTTTGGAGGTGAAAAAAAAAATCCCATCAAATAGAAAAACGCACTACAAGTCTTTAATTCAAGAGCATCACTAGCAAAGGTAGGAACAGTCAAAGCTCCTTAGGACATAATATGGGTCCCAGACCCATGGGTGTACCAGAAGCAAGCTTCACATCTAGAGGTCAATAAATGGCATGGAGACAGCTGAGCACTGGTTTACAAGAGCAAGGTTCATGTATTCTTTTGAATCATACACAGAAAGAAATGCCCAATGGGTTAAAGTTGTGAGTATAAAAACAGTTGAAAACCATGTTTTTACGATCTTGACTGCCTTCCGTAAAGCACAGAAAAAGAAAAAAAGACCAATGAAATAAAAAAGTAGTAACAGAAAGATTTCAGTGTGCAGATATTACACAAAAGATCATGAAAAAGTTAAAAGGCTAGCAGCAGGTTGGAAAAAATACTGGGGACTAATATCTCACATTTTACTAATCCATATAAAAAAGACAGGCAACCTAAAAGAAAACATATGACAGTTTGAATACAGAAATCAAACAATTTAGGGAAAAAAAGGGTGAATAAAGATGAGTGAAGCTGCCCAACCATATGGAAATCCGTGTACAGCTATTTATCCTGTAGACTATGGACTTTGAAGTCACTGTCCACCCAACTGTTGATGAGGGTGACTGAACATGCAGCATAGTCACTAACTGTGAGTCAGTAAACTGTTTAAAAGATAACAGACAAATCTTTAAAAAATTATCAGATACATGAATCCAGTGATCTAGGAAAACCAGTCAATGGGGCAACTTCAGAAATCTGGCATGTGTACACAGACATAAGCATGACAAAAGGACTTAAGCAACCAGCAGTACCTGTTCAGTAGAGGCCAGTACATTATCTGGGGGATACCACAGTCATGGAGAAGACTGACAGGGAAGGACTGACATTTATGTGCTGAATGTGAATGAGAGGGTGTAGTCTGTACACACAAGTATATTATATGTGGATGCATTTGTAAATGTACAGGAAAAGAAATGCCTAGAAGTACATACCTCAACCCCTAACTAGCTCTTACCCGTGAGAACAAAGATGAGGATAGAAACTGAGTAAAGGAGGGGATTCATTTTTATTGACAAACTTTTGCACTATTTGAACCCTTAATTAAAATGCATCATTTTGGATATACAAGGCATAAAAGGAAATGGTCCTGACACTTCCCTATGGCTAATTTTACTGAATTTGCTTAGAGAATACAAAAGAAAGAAGTCTTTTAGCATAAATACTTCTTGGAAAATTAGAACTACAAAATTTATTTGAATCTAACTAATTAAAACTACAAAATTAGAATTACAAAATGCACGTTTTTTTGCTTATTTTCTACTGCAATTTATTCTCACCTCGGGCTGCCAAATGGAGAGAAAATCATCAGACATTGTGATTTAGAGGAACGTTTTGCAGAAGTAAAACTGACTTGAATGACCAAGTGGGAGGAGTGCAGACACTACAGCTCAGGGGTCAAGACTCAGCTATACAAACATATACTGTTTGCCCAGTTTCCTGGAGTCCCCAGCCAGGTCTGGGTCATCATAAATATCCCGTATCCTTTTTATGATCAATGTTCCAGAAGAAGTATAACTTCAGGTGTCACGTTTTAATATGAACTTTTCCCGACCCCGGCTGTAGCAGGGAGGGTCTAAGTCCTGCATGTTATAGATCCAAGAGTGGAATACCATTGAAAAGCTATCAGAGAGAGTACCTTGATACATTCAGGACATGTAATGGCAAATACAAGCAAGGAGGAACTGATGAAGAAGAAACATCCTAAGATGAAGGGAGTCCCTTTGCCACACCAGAGCTTCCTACATGAAGAACAGCTCTGGTGATAGGGGCCCAGCGCACACTTCACACAAAGTACTTGCTATGAAATAATGAAGTTTTACTTGAATTTCCTTTGCCTTATGACAGGTTCCCCTATAAAAAACAGAACCCCTGGGAACCACTGAATGGCTAGAAGCACAGTGTTTGGCTGCTGGACTGAGGCTGTCTTTAGTTTAGGGTGTTGCATCAGTATTTGTGTTCTGAAAGACAGAGAGTCTTGTCGTCTTCATGCAGTCACCTGTCCTGGAATTTTCTATCAATTCAATTTGTGTGTGTGTGTTGCTATATGAGTTTGTGCACGTGTATGCTGAGGTCAGAGGAGACAGGATTTCTCATTGAATCTGGACCTTGAGTGCATGTCTCCCAGCCTTTCATCCCTCCCCGATAGGCTGGCTGCCTGCAAGCCCCACAGATCCTCCTGTCTCTGCCCCCACAGCACCAGTTACAGGCTGATGTGACCATGCCAGGCTACTTGCATGGGTGCTGAAGATCCAAACTCAGACCCTCATGCTTGTGTGCAAAGTCCTCTTACCCATGGAGCCATCACCTCAGACCCTCAGCTTGGTTTCTAAAAATTTAATTTCTGTGCAAAATTGTAGGAATACAGCTGCTATATAAAGCAAAGCTCATATATGGATGAGATGTAAATAAATAGGATAGCTGTCACATCTGGAAATTAGACAACATGAGCACTCAGGTTCTCCCCTTAGCTTCTATTGCTTGTAAAAACCAAAGGGTAGTGGGAAGAAAAACCACAGCATTATGGTTGTTAAAATTTGGACCTTAGTTGCCCATGTGCTAAAGTCCTGGTTCTCAGCTTGGCTCTACTGGGAATGCTGTGTGAGTCTAGTGTGAGACCTTGCAGTCACTGGAGAAATACCTGTTAGGGGGATGGGGTCATGCCTGTGAGGGGGATGTAACCCAGGACTCTTCCTCTACCTTATTCTCATTCCTGGGCCACAGCAGGAATGAGCGTTGTTCCCATGTGTTGCCACAATGATATGTAGCCTTGTCATAGGTCCCAAAGCAGCAGAAAGAACCAAATAAGCCCTGGGATCTCTGAATTTGTGAGTCTTTCTTTCCAGGTTGATCATTCCAGAGATTGTTATCACAGCAGTGTCTTGGGAACCAATCAAAACTTGACTCCCATTACAAGATCTAGCTTCTGAAAAGTTCAGTTTCTACCCAAAGTCTTGTCCTGTGAGCCACACTGCCTGTCACCAGCATCTGTTCAGAGCCCAGAACTTCCAACATTAGTGGAAGAACAGAATACTTTTTTTTTTTCTGGCCCAAAATCGAAATTGAAAAGAGAACCATATTGCAGCCCTTCAGAAGGATTAGCACTTCACTGAAAGAAAAAAATTTGAGACCTCAGCGTAGAAATTTCTTTTTCAGTGAGATTAGTTTAGGTGCTCTTAAAAGACAATGGAGCCAATCAGGAAAGTCTAGACATTGATAATCTGATCCAGCCATATCTTTACATCTGCTACCAGGACTCTAACGCACCAAAAAAGCAAAGAAAGACAAGCACGAGGGAAGCAGAAACCTTCATCAGATGATTTTTCTGCTAAACCACATTAAAAAATTAAATGACTACACAGTACACCCGACAGGAATTTATTGTGTTAAGTTTTCTCAATCTGCAAAACTGGATCTTGTCTACCTACCTTGTAAACTGTCGACTCTCTTCATGAACTTCCATTTCTGTGCTTTTAAACTCATTTAGTTCTTTTCTTATTGCTGCCTAAACAGGAGAAAATGAAGCAGAATTTGGGTCACATATTTTCCCAATGTATACAATTCTCATGAAGCAGATATTATTGTATGATACAACATTTTGGGGAGAGCAAAGAATTACTTATTTATCCCAGATTAAGATTTAATATGAAATATGTTACAGTCTGAACATCGGTGATATAAAAATCTGAAATTAGAAAATCTAAAAAAGCTGAAATTTTCTGATTATCAGTGTGAGCCACACGTGGAAAATTCCATACCTGACCTCCTGTGATGGTTGCAAAGTGCAAGTATGATAAAAACGTGTAAAATGACCTTTAGGAGATGTGTGAGCAGTGTGTGTGAACATGAATGAATTCTTTTAAAGCAGGGCTGAGGATTGAACCCATCCCTCATACATACTAGGCTAGCATTCTAGCACTGAGCTAGACTCCTGGCCCCATAAATGAATTTTGTATGTAGACACAGATCTCATCTTTCAACTACCTCATTTCATTATGTCTTTGCAAATATCCCAAATTCTAGAAAGACCCCTAACCCTTTGGTCACAAGCATTTCAGAGGAGGGACAGTCAGATGGAAGCCAAACTGAAGCTAGGGGGGCCTCCCTGAGAGTTTCCTTGGTGGGGAGGGTGCCAGTAGGGTCTAGAATGTGTGTCATAGAGAATGTCCCTTCACCCTCCTATGACCACAGCAAATGCAAGGCATGGGGTTTTTTCAGAGAATTCGGATCCTGCTCCTAGGAAAGTTTTCCATTGAAGCCTGCTTGCAGGCGCGCCCACAGCAACATAGCTTTGACTAGCTGCCACAGGGATGCCAAGAAGGCAATTGCTATTTATTTTTTCATGTTGAAAGTTTAGACAAATGGCTGAAAATTCAGCACAGCATTTAAAACCACTCAGAGGAACATCAAATAGGCGGCCTTATTTAAGGAACACATAATCCATGCCATGTACAACAAAATGCTTCTGCATGAAGACTGGAAAGCTGAGACGCCCCTCCAAATGCTAACTTTGGCTGTCTGTTAACAGACAGTGGCGGGATTATGCATGGATTCAGTTTCAATTTTAGCCTTATTTTTATTTCCTACTCTTTTCTACAAAGGGTATTTCACTCACATAAAAAGTACTAAAAAAATCTTTATAAGCTCTATGTAGATTACAGTATTCAGACCAAACATAGAACATTATAAATATCTTTTACTCAAAGAATGCTTTCCTTCATAGAAAAGGAAAAGTAGGAATGACATCTATGCTAAAGGGAATGGCTCCAGATAAACACAGAATGTCAATATAAACCACAGGAAGTGCCTTCCCAGAAAGATAGAAAAATCTACTTTTCAGTTGGAAGTCAATGAACTTCAGAAAAAGGGAAAAGATAGGAGAGAGCCCTGAGACTTCTTCATGGCTCTCTCCCATCATTAACCATCACTCTACAGTTCACAGGCTTCCCTTCCAAGTATATTTTAATGTGATAATTAATCCCTGTTGTCACAGACTGTCTCCTCTCCCCAGATACATTCTTTAGGTCTGGAAGTCTTTTTGGGGGAACCTGGGACAGAAAACAGTAGTCATAATTCTTATTGCTAACTTTTGGAAGTTCCAAAGCAAGCAGAGACCTGCTTGTGGGCCAGTGTCTTTCATGACACACTTACGCAGTGTGTTTCACAAGACACAACAATGTGGACTTGGTTTTGGTCATCGTAACAACTGGCATTGGATCCAGGAGCTGGACAGTTGCCTGAAAATGTTCCCCCTTGGAAAGAAGTGTTTCAATGTGAACAGGGGCAGAGAATTCCATCTCTGTGTTCATTTATTTTTGTATCCACAAAAGGTTTCAGCAGAGGTTGTGCAAAACACTTTAGCTAGACTCAGAAGACATGGGTGTTGGTCTTGGCTATGTTCCCCATGGCAGTATGATGCTCACAGGGGAACTTTCCCTTCAGTTTTCAGCTTTCCTACTGCTATGGTCGGGATGACTGTTATCCAAAGGTCTGTATGGTAACGCCCATTGTCCAGGGAAGTTTTATTAGAGGTGTTGTGAACACTTAAGAGGTGGGGGTCTCATGAGGGACATGCCTTTAGGTCATTTGGGGCATGCTCCTGAAGAGATTATGGGACTATGGTCTACCTTCTCTTTGCTCTTTTGACTCATGATGTAAGTGGCTTGATTCCCCATGTACTCCCCACTCCAACCATGTGATACCACCACCAGACACCCATTACTTAGACCTTACTTAGTCCTTCATTATTTAGATCCTTATATACAGAACTGTGATTTTGCTATGTATAAGTTAATTGTTTTAGGTATTTTTTTTTTAAGTAACAGAAAGCCAGCTGATATACCCACCTAGAAAACAGGGATGAAAATTCATGATACAATTAGGAATATTAGTTTAAAGTGAATTTTTAAAAAATGTCTTGGATACCGTAGAGTTACCAACAAAATACTATGAAGTTTTAAAATAGCACATTATTTGGGCTTGTAACTAACAATTCTTTCATTTTTATCATAGAAAATTCACTGGAATACAAGAGGACACTGCTGAAGGAGAGCTGAATATAAATACAATGGAGAACTTACTAGTGATAGAAGCTGGCTACCTGTTAAAGAGTCTGGCAAAATCCAGGAAAAACATCCAGAGAGAAACACTTGGGATACGGAGTTTATAAATCAGAAAAACTACAAACTGTGCCTCACTCCACACAATATTTATATTAATAAAATTTATAACCTTCTGGCTCCCATATCCCCCCATGCACACTGCTTTCCTCAGAAGGCCAGTTAGATACTCATGGACACACCCTATGTTCTCCTCTTCAATGCCGCTTTGTCACTACCTCCTTAAGATGTGGTGTCTGTTTCTCTGGTTTTGATTCTGGGTAAACCCTGTCACTACTCTGAAACACAGTAGATTTGTTACTTTACCACACCAGTCTAAGGTGAGCTTCTTTCTGGCCCATCGGCATTTGCTTCTTGGAAGCCAGCTGCCACATAAAACGTACTTGACTGCCTAGGGCAAGGGGCAGTATGAGAAGCCCCAACATAAAGAAAGACTTCGGAGGAAGAGGTGCAATGTAGACAGGTTTAAGGAGCAGGAGGGCATACACACATTCAGGAAGAAACTACTTTGGAAGTGGGTTCTCAAGGCTTGACATCTTACCAATGCCTTGTGGGCCTGAAACAAACCACTGGACAGATGCATTCCAGAATTGCTCCCTCACAAACTTATAAGCACTATACATTACTGATTTAAGCCAGCAGCTTTGGGCTGGCTTGTTACAAGACAGCTGATAACCTAAACAGTATTCTAAGATAAAACAGAGGCCTGGATGGGGTCTTGTGATCTACTGGATATCAAATATGATTAAGTGATTATGTTGGAGCCACCAATAAGCCTACAAGTCCCACATACATCCAATAAAATGAGCTTTGGGGTCCCACTAATCCACATAACTCCCTCATTTTTTATGTGTGTGCTGGTTTGCATTTAGAAGTGACAAGTCAGTTGTATGCAATGATATGGTAACATGTGTAACACTGCAAGAAGGACATACTTGTCTGATTATGTGGACGGTATTCACTTTCAAAATCTACTCAATAAGGACCTACTTTACTACTTTAGATAAGAAGGAAGAGTTCTTAGGGGTTTAAAGGAGGAAAAAGGAGACCTTTTATATTGGCCAGGTACACAGAGTCAATATAAATATAGTTTTTGTGCTTCTCTATCTTTTTTTTTTCAGATGAGACTAGATTTTAGGCCCAATATTCTCTATCTAAGTGTAACTGGGGCTGGTTTTGTTGAAAGATAAAAAGATGAGCTGAGACAGTGGGATTGGAGCCAGTGGTGCTGGGTTGGACCACTTTAGGGAAACCATTCAACTGAAATTAATCTCTAAGAAAACAGAGGCAACAACAAGCCCAAATGCCAGGCATTTGCACTCAGACTACATGTAGAGTGGTGTTTGGTATCAAGAGAATTAAACACAGGATGTAAAAATGACTAAAACTAAGTTTAAGTTTGGCTAGTGGTGAGTAGCCACATACATGCTCCATCTGATCAGTCCCGGTCAGTTCGGGAGCACTTCTTGGCAAGAAGCAACAGGCAATTTGTTGAAAATATGGCTCTTGCAGCTATCTCAAACATTACAGCATGGGTTGTGAGTGAAGAATTAGCTAGAATTTCCCCTTGATATCTTTTGTTTATTTCTTTGTGAAGATGCTGGTATCAAAGAGTGGATTGCTCCGCTGACTCAATAAGCTCAATGTCATGGGAGGTGAAGTGTGCACTCCATGAGTCAACTGATGACATTCTACAAGGAGTTAAAATCTCAGTCTTCACAGGGAGCTGGCTAGACAGTGTATTCCTGAAAAGGCAGCATTCATCTTCCTACCCTTGTACCTAGGATACTGTTCGAGCGTTTCAGTAAGTGAGGCAGATACTGTATCATCAGAAAACAGTCTGTATTCTGCTTCACTAGAGATTTTTTTAAAAAGAACTTTTCTTGAAGCGTATATTCACGTCTCCTCTCAGTACATCTTTGAATACCTTACCTGAACTTCCCAGGAATTTAGTTTCTCTACTCAGCCCTTCCTAGGGCTGTCTCTAGCCCTGGTGACAAGGCCCTTCTGAGCTTGCACAATGGCGTCCTTGTCAGTACCAAAACCTCTTCAGCAGCTCACTAGAGATTTTTAAGCTGAAGCTCTCATCAGTATTTTAAATTTCAGTCCACCTGTGTAGCCATGGAGTGAAATCACTTTGGGGTTCTAAATAATATTCAAATTTAATTTTCTTTCGAAAGTAGCATAAGCTTTCAGCAACTTTTGCTTTCACTAATTAAAAAAAAATAAAGTGGGGTAGAAAAATCAAAACAAAAATAAAACTAATTTAAAGCTACATTCATTTATTTTTGTGAATGTGTGCACAACTGTGTGTTTGTGTAGGGTGTCACATGTCCTTGTATTTGTATAGGTTGCCTCATGTACTCCAGTGTGGATGTTGGGGTTAGAGGCAAACTTCCTTCCATCATGTGCATCCCAGAGACCAAACTGAGGTTGTCGGGCTTGCTGGCAAACGATTTCACCCATTGAACCATCTCGAAGGCCTCATAACCTAACTTTTTAAAAAATATTTTTACATTGTTTTAATTTTCTGGTCATTGGTATTCTGTCTACATTTATGTCCACATGAGGGTATCAGATTTCCTAGAACTGGAGTTACAAACAGGTGTGAGCTGCCATGTGGGTGCTGGGAATTGAACCCTGCTCCTCTGGAAGAGCAGCCAGTGCTCTTAACTGCTGAGCCATCTCTCCAGTCCCCTTGAAAACTAATTCTTAACACAATAGTTAAGTCATAATTACTGAATTTTATATCAATTAACTTAATGAATCAAATACATTATTTAGAGTCTGATCAATAAGTGTTATGAAGCTTTTTAAGGTAAAAGTAATAAAGAGCCAAATTTTTTGCTACAATGACAATTAGCATGCTTTTTCATTCTTACATAAAATGCTTTTAGCATGTGGGTCATATTTCTTTTTACATATTTTGCATGTGTGTGTGTGGTGTGTGGTGTGTGTGTGTGTGTGTGTGTGTGTGTGTGTGTGTG